TGGCTGCAGTTCGTTCATTCACTTGGAAATCGGCGGAAAAATGACGGTCGATTAAAAAAACTGACCGATAAATTAATTTGTCAAAGAGCCATTGAACAACTCGTGGTTATGCTGTGTTAGTACATTATTAATAATAATAATATTGCCTAATGTTAATATTAATATTGCTAATAATGGTGCAACGGGTACTGTTAGCTTCTTCGTCTTTGGGATTCCGTTCGGGAACTTCCAAAGGAATCCCTCGGAATACTGAGCCCCTCTGCTCCTCTGTCAAGGTCGTACCCGTACTTGGAGAGGTTATTGTTTAATAAAAATTCATGAATATCAAAGGAATAAATCACGTTAAATATGTTAATATACCTTGTTAGAGATTCGTCATTTCGATATGCTTACGAGTCTTATTAATTACGCGCGTTAAGAAGCATTTACTATTACATTCATCACTCACATATAAGATATAACACGATTTGGTATCATTTAGCATTGAAGAAATGCGAGGAAATACGAGGAACGATGCGTATTGCGACCTACGAACACTGGTGAGACATTGGGGCGCTCGTAAACACGTGACGTCACCAGCCGCGGCACGTAAACTCTTAACTAAACAACAATAGTTTAGCTAGACGAAATTCAATACACATATTACAAATCCAATTTAATTTCCACGAGGCGTTATTATAGCATCTTTGATGATGAAACATTAAATAATATAATTAAATATATTGTTAACTAACATCACCTGCCCGCACGAGCGTCGGTGGTCGATTGTAAATAAAGTACCAAGGCCGCACACTATTGTGTCGCTATCTCAAACATAAAGGTTTCAACGTTTATAACAAAATTATATATGTGTAAGATATATATCTTTTCCTTGAGCTTTGCACACGAAGAAAATATCAGGAACAGGAATAAATATTAAATTTCGAAAATAAAAATTCGGAATAACGTTAGTTAACGTTAGTTAATTATTTTAGTAGCAAGATTATATAATATGTGATAATAAATATATCACATATACTAAATATTTTATATAAAAATATATTAAAAAAATAAATGACGCGCGCGTTTTGTATCGTTCTAGTATATAACAAAAGAGCAATATTTAGTTAAAACATCTTTAGTAAAATATTTCAGTATTTAGTATTAAAATAAAAAGTGTTGATTTTATAAGCAATTCTTTTTTTCAATTTTTTTTAAATTTTAGCTCTTTAAATATTATTGTTCGACGTAAATGCAACACGAATAATAATATTAATCGAAAATTTTCTATAACTTTCTTATTATAACGTTCAGGCTCTTCTATAATTTTGTCCCGCGCCGATAAGCAAACGAGATTGTAATTAGCATCTTAATTAAATACATGAGAATACATTATAACGCATCAGAGTGTGTCGTGTTATAATCTTCTCTAATTATACCGTTCTACTGCTACACGTCCATCGTCTTTCTTTTTAAACGAAGAAGACGCGGAAAAAAGTGTATAAAAGCTAGATTCTTTGTGCTCTTGTCTTTGCGACAGTACGACCCCTTTTTATGCACCCGAATGCACCCCGCGGCTCGTTAATAGGTAAAAATGTCGCCGGCGGACCACGTGTTGAGAACCATCCCATCGTCATGGCAACCCCCATAGTCTCACAGACGGCAACGTCCCTGCTGGTTCAGGAACGTATCTCCAACATATTATGCCCCACCCTGCTTTCATTATTTTCAGTCTTGTTGCAGTAAAAATGTGCAATTTTATCTAAAAAAAATAAAATGCTCTATCTAATTATGTATAAATACAAACTATTTTATAACATTATTTATTTGTAAACACTTTGAAAAATTTATTTATTATATACATATGGCTAAAAACTATTTTTTTTTAGTGTAATTTCTATTAAAAGTCATTTTTTTTTTACTTTGTAAGATTTAGTATTAGATATTACTGATTAATTTTTCAAATTAAAAATTTATCAAAGTAAAATTTATTTTATATCGGATGGAAGAATATAAAATTTTATTATATTGATTCAAATTGTTGAAATAATTTGTATAAAATCTCATTTGTTCTCAATCGCTTATTAACTTGAAAAAAGTCTACATTTTAATATTCTTGTACGAAAAGATTTGCTTTAACTTGGAACTTGTAAATGGAGTTTGTCGGGTAGGTCGCGGAACACCCCATATAAGAATATTGCGCTACTTCGTGGCACTCACATATTCAAGTTTATTGTATAGTCCGTAATGTCGACTCGAGAATCCCATGAACAAGACGTATATGCAGACTTCACGGAGGAATATATTACTTTTTATGTCGTCTATCTCAACATATATTATGCGGAAAGATCGATACGTCCCGACATGACACTGCCCTTTTTGCATATCATTGTGTTATTCTATTTTATGCAAATACGTATGTTAAAATTTTATATTCGCGGAGCAATTTTCAAGAAAGAAAGGAATTTAATATATTTTTTATGAAGTAAATATTAATTTATTACTACTTTATTATAAACTTAATAATAGTTTGAAATCTTATAATGAAAATATTTGTAATATCGTCTTCTTTTTTCTTTCTTTTTACTTTCCTAATACCGAACGCACTTTTATTCTTGTTCAACTTTCATTTTATTTTTTTCTTAACTCTAAAATTTTTTTTTTAACCATTATGTATCCTATAAAAGAATCTTTCGAGCAATCGAAA